GTCAAGACTTCATGCCTCAAGTGCTGGGAAACGTTTGATGTTGGGTATGCCATTGACCGGCACTATTTATTCAGCGAGCCCCCTCCCTTCAGAGTAGTTGGATCCGCGCTTCTACGCAGAACGTTTATAGTAGAAGCCGTTTACGATATACAGTTTGCATTGATGGTCGTGCATCCCGGGGGCGACGGCCTTTCTATAGAGTTTCTGGTAATCTTGACGCCCTGCTCTCTAGCAAGTCCAGCTGGGTGTCCGTAAGCGGGCTCGAGAGGAATGATTGCCCCACAGGTGAGTCTCTCTCTCTCTCTCTCTCTCTCTCTCTCTCTCTCTCTCTCTCTCTCTCTCTCTCTCTCTCTCTCTCTCTCTCTGCACCTCAACCCAACCACCAAAGATTGCCGACGGCCACCGTCTCCCTCGCCCACCGGATGATCCCCGACATGCCTCATCTCCCCCCGCCACCTCCCCAACACCGCCCAATCACGTCCCCCGTCCCAGCCTCCACGCTCCGATAAGGAAGGCGCACAACACGTTGCCCGCGGCGTCTGTCCGACGATCCCGTCACATCAATCCCCCCCCCCCCCCCTCCCTCTTCTCCCATTACGAGCATGCGCTGCGACCTCTCACCCGCAACTCCGTATCGGCACCGGGCTCCCCATTACCAAGCAGGGCCCATCCCCCTCCCCTTCCGACTCCGAAATGCGGCCTGCCTTCGGGCAAAGCCTGGGGGGGAAGGGACGAAGAACGGTTTCACACGGCCGTTATCGACGCACTGCTACCCACAGCGTGCTCCTTTGCAGATAGACATGTCACCATACCTCCTCCTATCTCGGCCGGCTGGGGGAAGCTTCTCCTCCACGACTCGCACCCAATCGTCCCCCCCCAATTGGACAATCAGCGCGGGCTGATACCACCTTTGCTGCATCTGTAGACCCGATAGCTATCACGCAATGCCGGGACCAGTGTTCGTGTGATGCTGGGCGCGCTTCGCATCCTTACAAGAATGACGTCTTCCTCGATACTGCTGTGCAAAACCCTCCCCTCCCCCGATCTCTCCGGTGACCGTTCCGTCGTGCCCGACCTACCTGCGGGAAAACAGAGGTCAAAGGTGTAGTCCGAATAGCTTCGCGAAGCAACGCCCATCGAAAAACCTCAAATTTCACAAGCCGTCGTCCCCCGCCCCCCTCCCCAACCAGCCGAGGCCTCAGCCAACCTGCCCAAGATGCGCTCCCAAACCCTCCTCGCCTTCCTCTCGTCGACCGCCCTCGCGTCCGCCAACTCCCCCTACTACCCAGAGGAGCAGGTTCCCTTCGCCGCCGCCGCCGACGTCGGTGCCGACACCACATCCGACTTCAAGTGTGACCTCCCGCCAGTCGTGAGCCCCTCCGACGGCCTCCCCTCCGCCAAGGACCTCTTCTCCTCCCCCGAGGCCATCCGGAAACAGGTCGAGCGCCACGCCGCCATCGTCCGCGTGCCGTCAATCTGCTACGACGACCTCGGCGACTTCGACACCGACAAACGCTGGGACGTCTTTTACGACCTGCACCATGTCCTGAAGAAGACGTACCCCGTCTTGTAAGTCCTCCCTTTCTCCCTCTCTTTCTCTCCCTCTCTCTCTCCCTCCCCGCTCAGGTACAGCAACCCATCACTCCGACGGGGGAGGGGGAAAAAAGAAGAAAGAAATAGTGAAGGAGAAAAAGGAGAAGGAAAAAAGCCTCTGACAAAAAAAAAAAACCCGCCGCTCAGCCATGACCGCGCCGAGCTCGTCAAGGTAAACACCTTCGGCCTCGTCTACACCCTGCGCGGCTCCGACCCCTCCCTGAAGCCCCTCCTCCTCGCCGCCCACCAGGACGTCGTCCCCGTCGCCGACGCCGCCACCTGGACCTACCCGCCCTTCTCCGCCCACTTCGACGGCGAGTGGATGTGGGGCCGCGGCGTCTCGGACGACAAGAACTCCTTCACCGCCCTCCTCTCCGCCCTCGAGACCCTGCTCTCCGGCGGCTGGTCCCCCACCCGCACCGTCATCCTCGCCTCCGGCTTCGACGAGGAGTGCTCCGGCAGACGCGGCGCCGGCCACATCGCCACCCACCTCGAGCAGACCTGGGGCAACGACAGCATGGTCCTCGTCCTCGACGAGGGCGGCATGGGCCTGCAGCAGCTCGACGACGGCACCCTCTACGCCCTCCCCGCCGTCATGGAGAAGGGCCACGTCGACGTCTGGCTCGACCTGCACGTCATTGGCGGCCACTCCTCCGTCCCCTTCCCCAACACCGGCATCGGTATCGCCTCCGAGATGGTCGTCGCCCTCGAGGCCCACCCCTACTCCCCCAAGCTCACCACCGGCTCGCCGCTGTACGAGCACATGGTCTGCCAGGCTCGCTACTCGCCCGACGCCCAGCCGCGCATCACCGAGCTGCTCGAGGAGGGCGACCTCGACGCCCTGGCCGCCGAGCTCGTGGCCATCGACCGCCCGACGCACTACCGCCTGCAGACCTCGCAGAGCGTCGACTATTTCCAGGCCGGCCAAAAGATCAACGCCATGCCCGAGAAGATCCGCGTCGGCGTAAACTACCGCGTCGCGCCTCAGAACAGCATCCTCGAGATCCAGCACAATGTCGTCGGCTACGTCAGCGCCATCGCCAAGAAGTACGGCATCGCCGTCAAGGCCTTCGAGGGAGACGAGGACTACCAAGAGTACGCGAAGCGGCACGCCACGAAACTCGGGTCCGTCAAGGAGCTGGACGACGCGGTGAAGCCCCTGTACGACGTCGACTACAACGGCACGCTGTATCTGAGCCGCACCCAGGCGACGCAGCCCGCCCCCATATCTCCGACCAAGGGTCCCGTCTGGGACCTCTTCTCCGGGACGCTGCAGTCCACCTTCGCGTTCGACGGCGGCAGGGTCGTGCCTGTCGGCGAGCTTATGACCGGAAACACCGACACGAGACACTACCTGAGTAAGTCAGACACGATTTGCGCGTGCCAGCTAGAAGCGAGCGTGAGGGAGCTGACCGCGAATAGGCCTTACGCGCAACGTCTACCGCTTCGTGCCCATCCGAAACGGCGCGACCCTCAACGCCCACACCATCGACGAGAGGATCAAGATCAGCGCACACATGGAGATCTTGAGCTTCTACTACGATCTGATCCGCAACTTCGACTCTGCAGACATTTAGCGCAGTATGCCAGCTTCTTCCGCGAACCATGTATGCACACCATCTGTTGCAGCGCGTCAGTCACGCGCTCCAAAGCAGTAACTCTTTCAAAAATCAAATCAAGGATAACGATTCTCGTGCGAGGCGTAAATGACCAAAGACGGACATGTTATGAGCAGAATAGTATTCGTTTGAAATGAAGTCTAAATATGCGAATGACTCTGGGCATCCACTCTTTGGGAATGCCCGGGGGTATGTATGTACTAAAAAAAACAAATCAACATGTTGAGATATTTACAGCCTCGTCAACAGGCATGATTATGCAAATGATAATGAAACATGCCGGAACCGCCTCAGTTCACTGTCCTAGTGACCAGAGGACCACCCGTTGTTGGGAAAGCGACGGGGGTTGACAACGCGTACAGGTCGAACATCCGGGCCCCGCCGCAATAGTTGGCCGTGCCAGTGGTGGTAGTGACCTTGCCACTTGTGGTGAATGTGCTGACGCTGCCGTAACAGTAGTTCTTGCAAGCCTTGTTTCCAACCAGCGAGGTGACAGCAGCGCCCTTGAAGTCGAAAGTGGCACCTCCGTAGCACTCGTGGTAGTACTCGAGGAAGACATATGGCATCTTCGTTGTCGAGGTCGGCGAGTTGCTAAACTTTGAATTGGCATAGTCGATGCAGAGCTCGGGGGTGACGCTGTTGTTTGCGAACAACCCGGGAAGCGCATGGCCCGTGTTGGTATCCTGGAAGCAGCCGACGTAGTAGTAGCCATTGGTGGCTGTAGCCACGGGCCCTATTGTTGTGCTTGGTGCCGTGCCGCTCAAACTGCTGGCCGTCGTTGATGCTGGAACGGTAGGTACCCTACCGGTCGACGACGCGGTAGACAAGACAGCACCGTCAGATGCAGGGATTGACGAGCTGAGGATAGAGGGTGAACTCGAAACCGCAGAGCTCGTAAACACCACGATACTTGAAGACGCGCTAGAGGCAAGCGGGGAGAGTTGGTAGAGGTCAAGACGGCTACCCGCACCACAGTATTGGAACTAGACACGTATTAGCTCGAGCCGTGCCGTAGACATTGGAAGATTTACCTTGTTTCCCATGCAGAGCATATTGCACTCCGCGAGCGGAGCGGGCACAGATCCGGCGTTGGTCGAGTTGCCGCAGAAACCTGAAGGCTTGTGTCAGTAAACAAGTGAGGATAATAGGCATAACGTACTCACATTCACGGCCGTACTCCACACCCATGAGTTTCCATCCGTCGATGGAACAGAAGGAAGCGCAATCTTCGACAGCCATTGTGTCTGCGGCGGTAAACTTTCCGGTCAACGCGCGGCCGTTGACGCCCTCTGACTGGCAGCCCAGGAACTTGTAGTCGTTTGCTTGCGGCACATGCTGAGGAGCACTCGGGATCTGGTTGGGGACCGTGTTTCTGTAGACTGAAAGCCTGTATCCTGCTCCGCACAAACCAACGGGGGAGCCTGCGCATGATGCGGAGCATTCCTGCTCCGAGGTTTTCGTCTCCGCTGCTTTGACATCCCAGCCGCAGTAGCACTCGCGGCTGTACTCGACACCAAAATAGTTGAAGGCGCCGCCATTGAATGCGCCCGCACCGCAGAATGCAGCGCACTTGTCCAAGCTCATGTCATCGGCAGCCAAGAAAGCTTCGTTCAAAAGGCGTGTGCTGTTGACAAGGTCTTTATAGCAACCGGCGTATCGCCACTGTCCATTGACGACTTCGGGCATGCGGGGGTTCAGGGGGGACATAACCATCGTCGACGTCGGGCTCGACGAAGCAGTTGTGGAAGTGGAGGTGTACGAAGCGATGGTGCTTGTGGTAGTGATGCTGCCACCGTCGCCGCCGCCGCCGCCGCTGCTGGATAAAACCGAAGAGCTGGCGAAGCCGCTCGAAGAGAAAACACTGCTGCTGGAGGACAGCGAAGTTGATGTGGCTGACGAGAGAACGCTGGATGCCACAGAGCTGTATGACGCTGTGCTGCTGCTAGCCGAAGAGAACGCGCTTGATGAGGTGGCTGGAATCACCCTACTGGAAGATGCTGCCATGGTGCTAGAGGTCGTCGCCACCCGCACCGATGAGCTTGAGCTAGGGGCATTGAGCGACCCATAGAAGCCTTGGATATCGAAAGAGGTAATGTCGGCGTACAGGCTCATATGTCCGTTGTCGCCGCCGCAAGCTTGGGTATCATCGCCCGTGCAATCAAAAGTGCACAGGTTGAGAGACTCCTGCGTATAGGTGGAGGGGTTCTTAATGTTTCCTCCACACCAGCATTCCTGATGGTATTGGACGCCAGACAGAATGAAGCCTCTGTCGAGGCAAAGTCCCTGGCACTGCTGGAGAGTGTTCGTCCTCTGCTGGGCGGCGTTGTTGACTGAGTTCGCCAGGTTACGGCCGAGATTGGTAGTGTCTTTGAAACATCCCACCCACTGATAGCGCGCAGTCCCGTTCGTGAGAAGAGGTCCAACTTGCTTGGTAACAACGGTACCCTCAAAAAGGATGTTGTGTAAACCGGAAGCTTGGCCCGATACAGGGTCGTTGCCATCGGTGCTGATAGTCCACAGAGCGCTAACAGGCTGGGACGGGTGGTTCGGCTGGACAGGGGCTGCGTGTACGCCAACACTGCCTACCGAACATGTGCCCGGCGGAACTTGTGTCCCTTCAGTGAGCTCGTGGTTAGGGTTAAGAGCAAACAACTGAGGCGACGCAGGTGGCTTAGAGATGGTTATCGTTAGAGGTGCACCGCCCTTGTTGCAAACACGGATCTGTTTATCGACCAAGGCGCCGGCAAGAACATTTCCAAACGTGACCTTGTAGTCCGAGAGTGCGTTCCAGTTGCCAAGACCGTCTGCCAACTCAAATGTCACAGCGGGCGGGTCGTTGACGGAGCCGCTCAGCGTGAGAACAGCCGTACCACCATTGGACCAGATGGCTATCTTTGTCGTGTACGACCCAGAAGCCTGCTGGAAGAATCGAAGCGGGACAGACAAGCTTTGGCCAGATCCAAGGGAGGAGCCGGCAGCGGGGAAGTTGGACGATGAAAAGCCGGAGCCCAAACCGCCATCGCCAGTGATATTGGTGTAAGTGCCGGCATCGTTTTGCCAAGCAAAGCCAGTAAAGGTCAGAGTGCCGTTGCCCGCGTTTTGCAACAGAGCTGTGGCAGTCAAACCATCAGGAGCGTCTCGGAGCACAAGCCTTCCAAAGGTGATATCGGAAGGGGTCGCACTGAGGAAAGGGCCTTGCTTGACAGCAGTTCCTTGAAGTGACACTACGGTGGTTGAGGCGTAATCTGCCGATGCGCTAATCGACAGAGTCAACGCGCTGGTGAAGAAGCCAGGCACAACTTTGGCGGCTGGGTTGGAGAGGTCCCACGTCACATCCAGCGAAAAGGAAGTGCCCGCGGCCACAGCGCCCTGTGGTAGAGTTGAGTTGGAACACGTCCACGAGGGGTCTGAGACGGAACAGCCATTGACTTTTGTGAGTGCAACGTTGGCTTTACAGCTGACTTTGGCGCTGGCGGTAGATCCCATCTCGAGGGAGCCAAACTCAACCGGGCTGGTGCAGTTCACAGCAGAGTTGACGGGAGCTCCAAAGCATACGAGCTTGTTGTTGTTGGCGTGGAAGAAGACGCGGCCGTCTCCGAAGACAGGACGCTGGTACTTGTTCGTTCCCTGGGACGATGGGAGAGTGAGAGGAACCATGACACCATCCTGGGGAACGGCTCGGAAGGCCATGAGACCGGTGTTGACATCAGTGACCCAAACCTAGTAATCATTAGTGAATCCGCCTCATCGCGCCTATAGGGTAGGAAGATCATTCTTACAATTCCGGTGCCTAGTCTTCCATTGTCAGATGTGACAGTGATCTGGCCGACACCGACTCGACCGGCAGAGACCCACGCTGACTTTCCTGCAAGACTGAACTGGGGCGCGCCCTTGGAGTCGAACCCAAGCTTGTATGCAACGAGACTGCCACCGATGGAGGATGCATAAATGTAACCACCTTCGGCTGGGTAGCTACCAAATCCACCATAGACAGAATTTCCAAGCTCGATGGTCTGCAGCACGCCGTCCCCGCCATCTGGAGCTTGTCGAAAACCGCCAAGGTTGTCGGCATTCACCACATAAGTACGGCCCTTCTTTCCCGCAGTCACACCGATTCGGTTGACTCCGGCGCCCTTGAAGACGGAAGGGTCCAAAACGGCCAATCCGGAGGAACCAACGTCGCGATCGCCGGCATCGAGGCCGATGTAGTCGTAGGGTTGGAAATAGTCGATCAAGGAGAGCTTGCCAGCGGCGGATAGCTCCATCCTCACAATACACTCGTCTAGTGTCGACATGGGAAGCCTGCCACTCGCAGGCACGTTGCCATTGGCGTGTCCTTGGCCGTTGCCAGTGACGAAGAAGATGTTGTTGCCGATGGTAGGCAATCCCATGCCGCTCTGCCAGATGCCTGCTTTACCACCTGTTTCGGTGGCCAAGTCGAGCGGTTGAGGATTGGGGGCGCCCGGCGCGGCTTCGGTTGCCCACATACTGACTGGACCGACGCCCGGGGTCTTGCTGACCGAGATAAGGTAGCCGGTGTAGTTCCAACGACCGCAGTGGGATCCAAACGCCGCAACGATATGCCCGTTGAGCTCGGTCAAGGACGGCCGCTGCAGGGCCACGCCACCGACAAAGTAGCGGGCGGGATCATTGTCGGCATTCATGCCATCGATGAGAACCGGAAAGCCGGCAACGTCTTCGAGGCTGGGAATCCGAATAGCGTACATCTTGTAGACTCCATTGGCGGTGCCGGAAGTGGTCCCGTCCTTGTAGCCTTTGGAGAATAGGTACATGATGTCGGTGTTGGGGTCGATGATGGGAGTACCAGTGACACCAATCCAGTCGGGAATGTCGCCGCAGTTGCTGTCGGCGGCACTGAAAGGAGGCTGAAGCGTCCTGGTGTTCAATACGTTGCCCGTCTTGCTGTCAAAAACACGGACGATGTTCATCTCAGAAGCTGTGATGACGAGCTCGGATTGGCCATTGGGCGTATATACGAGGGGCTTGGCCAGCCATTGTTCTCTGGCAACAGGGGACATAAACGTCCATAAGTTCTTGAAGCTCGAAGAGCCTGCGACGTTGGGGTCCAAGTTGTGGTTTGGAAGGTAGCCTGATTGAGGCAGATCCTATCATGGGCAATGATTCGATGGTTAACAAGCGTTTAGGGAAGTGGCACGCGAAGGTCTCGACCAGTGCCGAGATGCGAGCCGGTAAAAGACTGAGGACTGTAGAACTTACAGCGTCACGGTAGGAATCGGTCGAGGCTAACGAGGCAACAAGCACTGGCAGTGAAGCCAGTGCTGCAAGAGACAATCTCATGGCGTATTATCGAAAGACAAAAGTAGTAAACAAGTGAATGTCTGCTTCGGGAAGCGAAGGCCCAAAGATGCCTTGAAAGAGCGGATAGGGCGGAGCACCTGTTGGCAGCATATTCAAGGTCCGGGGGACAGAGTCAGATAATAAACAAAACGCAATGAGTACCAGAATTACAGATCGAAAGCAGAGCGCGGCAAACAGTCATCAGACGCGGAGCAACAAGGCCGTTGCCGTATCGTGTTGTCAAGGGCGTTGCTGAGAGAAGACATGGTGCAGTGACTAGATCGGCCACGAGGGCAAGGAAGCAAGACGGCGACGCAGAGCTCCCGACTGCTGCTGCATGGGTGACTACTGCATGGGTCAGTGGGCACACACACACATGCCTCGAGCGGGCTGAATTGGGGATCGCGAGGTCCAGTTCCGTAGGGATGGTGCAGACGCGCCCAGGCCGGGTTTGATTAGGGCGAGATATTGAAGGCGCCAGAGACATTTCAGGGCAAGCGGGAAAAGCACAGTTGGGCAAGCAAGGAAACTTGGAGAGGGGTGAGGTTCAAAGGAGTGTCCAAACAGCACATTGAGCAAGCGCACGCTCCGAGCGGGGAACATGATGCGTGAAGACTGGATCGAGAAAAAGAAGCAAGAATCGAGACACGGATAGTGTCCAAGGGAGCGAGCTGGGGCTAGGCGCGGTGACTGCTCACACCCATGAGCCACCGAGGGCGATGTCTGCCATGAGTGAGAGCCACGAGGAGAGTCTCGGCGCATCCAAAGAAGCCGAGACTCGTGGGAGAGGCCATGCGAGAAGGCAGGGATGTTCGGATGGCGGCACATGGACAAACAGTGAAAGACATGGCAACGCGGTCTGTTTCTGCGGCGGTCATGGCAAAACGGGACCCTAGTCGAGGTCGGGTTCGATCAGATCAGATCGGACAGTCAATAGCAGCCACATCGCCGGCGCCTCGTCCGGCGGGTAAAAAGAAGCTCGTGTAGTGGTGCTATTGGCGTTGGCGTTGCGGACTATTCTGCTGTCACGGCCGACTGGAGCGCTCTCGTATGTGTGCGTACGTGTGTTGCTGGCGCCGATGCTGAAGTGAAATGGGATTCTCGTGGAGGGATGTTTGAATTGTGGTTGATTCGGTTCCATCGTGCCTGTCTAGCAATACGTCCGACACGCGGGTGACTAGTGGCCACGAGTAGATTGGGCGGGGAGGACGTTTGGTGTTGGTCGGCGTATCCGTACGTGTTCCACTATCGGCAGAATGGGATCTTCGAAGGTACATCTGGGTTGAAGACCGGCATGGAGAAGAAGCAAGTAAACGTCGTTGGCTTGTAACAAGACACACAGACGCGTAGTGGTGGAGCAAACTCCGAGCTATGGATGGAAGGGAAGGAAGAGCTCAGGCTGATGATGCATGATGCAGGTCCGGACAGGGAAGGAAGCTTGGGGAAGAGATTGGGTGGCTTTCTCGCTTAGCCCGATATGTCAAGCGCCTTTCGCACCTTGGTCGAGGGAGGAGCATGCACCTACGGTACCTAGGTACGTGTGTACCTGCCCTTTGCTGCACATCGCGCCTGCCAGCAGCACACAAAAAGTGAGCAAGGTTCCAGCCTACCTACATACTAGTTTATGTAGGTAGGTGGTGTGGGTAGGTACATAGCCTTCAAGAGGCAATTGCAGCTTTATTGAGTAAACTCCATGTACGGATACCCATGCATGTGCACACTGCGAAGCTGTGTCCTGCAAGGGCGGCTGTCGGAATGAATGACACCTACATGAGACCGACTATTTGAGGCTGCAGCCGCAGGTGAGCAACTTCTGTTTGGCGTGGACATGGCCGAAGTTCGTCCCAATGGAAAATCTGGAAGGTAATCACCGTCCGGTCCTTCCATCTGGAGGCCGTGGCGCACCTCCCCGTTGGCCCTTCCGTCCCAAATGGGTGGTTCGAACCCTTCCTTCAAAGCAAGAGCCATCCATGCTGTGTTACTGGCCACGCATATCCCATTCCGACCTCATCTGCAGGCTGCAGTTAGTTCCCTCTCATCCATCGTTCCTTCCTGAATTATGACAAGGCTGACTCGACTCGTTATTCTTATTTTGTTTTTGTTTTGATTTTTTTATCGCTCTTGCTCCTCTTCGGCCTTGTCTTCTCCCCACCGTCATGTCTCTGTTTGCCTTTCAACTCGGTCAAACAGCAACCACCACCGACATTTCTCCATCTGGTTTTGTTTGTTTGCCTTCAAGCCCAGCTGAACTCGACATCTTCACCCGCCACTTCTCAACGCGCCGTGTTCCATCAACCACACACACATACAAACACACACACACACACACACACAACGTACGAACAAACATGGCCCAGGCTCTGATGAAACCCAAACATTGGACTCACTTTGGCCCATAGCGACATCGTGATGCGCGCCGCTCGTACGACGCTGCGGCCCGCCAGCCCGCCCCTACCGCGCCCTGTGCTCACTCTTTGCCGCACTTTCGATTGCTCCCGAACGCCTTTTGCGCAGGGGTAAACAAACAACACACCTTGCCGACTCTCGTCCCGCCCTTCATCTCATGTCGAACTAGCCTTTCAGCGCATCTTCTTTCTTTTCTAGCGAACAAGACTCGTGCCACCTGCTAGCACGAGCTGGCCTCAACCGGTACCGCGGCTCGGGGTCAAGCCCTTTACCACCTCGCATCGCACTATTGTTTGCCCTTCCCCTCTTTATTAATTTCTGCCGATTGACATGTCAACTTTACGTGTCGACAAGTTGGCAAACCACTCAATGGCCGGAGTTCCCGGTCCCGTTCGACCTTTGAACCCACCCCTGAGACTGGCGGTACGGCGGCGGTGGGGCTCATCTATCCGTACTCACTACAAACTTTGGTCTGGATACCTTCCGCTGTCTGCTGAAAGATCCACCGCTTGTATCCGGCGAGGCGGCGAATAGACTGCAAATATACGCGTCATGGCCCCGAATATTTGCTATTCTCAAAGTCTTATCGCCTTCGAACGACACATACAGGTCCTGACATTTATCTGGCCGGTCCCGATTCCTCGAGTTCGATGGCTCAAAGGACCATGGATGCCGACTGCCGAAAGACGAAACATGGGCACCTTGCATCTCAATAGACTTGGGCCCATTTTTCCTCCACCACGGGTGTCGGCTCGGCCCACCCTTCCTATACGTGTCAGGGGAATTATAGACAGGCCTTTCCTCCTTCGTCGTTTCGAGCTACCTGCCAAACAGCTTACACATTGATGCGTTGACGACAGGCCGGCCTGCAGCGCCGGCTTAAGTAACAGCTTTACGAATTATGTCTCCTGCATTGCTGGTACACGATGTGATGAGAGTCAAGGCAAACTGACCGCAACTACCCTGATAGTTGTCTAGGTGCTGTGCCTGCTTCATCTCCGCTTTTTGGCGAAACGGCGTGTCGTCTCCCTTTGCGGCACCGGCATGTATCACACGTTAAAACCGCATGGCAATGCGGTGGCTTACAAGCGCCATTTGAAAAACGGCTTCCGCCATCAACCGTATTCTCGACAGGCTTTGTCTCTGAGAAGGCGCTGCCATGTTTCTACCAAAAGTTGGGTTAGCACGCAGCCTGCCAAGAGCTTCACCCGGCCTGTGGCGCGTGCTTCCGACGATTTCACTTGTTGCCTCGTCCATCATTGCCGTAAGTGCCAGAAGTCGTTGCCAAGATCATGTGGCTACCATCGCCAACCTTTGTCCCGGCCCACCACAGCATTTTCACCTCGCTGTTCGACACATCCACCGCGGCCCCTTTACTATGTTTTCTTCCATGCTGTAACCTACGACCAGGTAGGCGGTTTATTATGTAGGTGCTGCGCTCCTTGTCCGTACCACTCAGCGATGGGTCGCTTCGATCCGCGATGCTGTGGATTTTTGAGCTACCTAGTGCTCCTCGCTATTGAGTGGAAACCCCCTTTTTATACGGTACGAGCAGGCTGATAGCTAGCTTAGCCACGGTAATGCAACGTCGAGGATCTACCACGGAAGGTGGTAAAAAGGAATTGGGCCATTTCATTATCCTCTTCGATCGCCTACCTACATCTGCCGGGGCGGCTCCATCTTTCTTTCCTCCGTCATCTCTCGAACCACGGCAGAAGGACGATCGATGAACACCCGCCTAGCCAGCACCAGACGACTCGACCTTTTCATCCATCCGAAGCGAGACGACGAGGCCTTGACGGAGACGAGGAATGTTCGCACGCCTTGCGTTGGTATGGCTCGCAGCCACCTCTGTCTCGGGAGCCTACGTGCAATGGCAGGACTGCGGCGGCCCGGCAACCCAGCCCGATGTCTTCGTCCCAGGGAGCATTTCCGCGACTTTGGTGTCGTCAATGACGGCCGCGAGAATTTTCTTACCCTGCGGGCTGGGCGGTGAATGGAAGAGGCCGAATGCCAAAGGCTTTCTGCTATGGTGCCCGCCGCGACAATCCAAGTCAAAATGCTCGGGCGGTCTTCAGCATACCGCACCACAACGAATGCGACATGCAACGAGCCAGCCTTTTCCAAGAACTGGGTCTCGCCCCTGGCACATCCCGTCGGTCTCTACGTGTCCATTGCCAACGATATTGGCCCTTTGTCCCCGTTGTCGACCTTTCACATCACTTTCCACCTGGAGGGGAAAGATTCAAAAGAGATCAGCTGCCAACAGGCCAACATCACACCGGCTCTCAGTCCGACCATCTCCTCAGCCATCACTTACTCGGCTTGGGCTCTCTTCATCTTCGTGCTTCTCGTCGGCATCGCACGCTCCGTCTCCAGCACCCCGATCAATTTCGATAATGATGAACCGCGCCCAGTTCGGACAGTCCTCCTGAATGTTGGGGACTGTCTTCAGTACCTTGAGTTCATTTTTTTTTTGTTTGACTGGTGGGCTCAACCTGCGGTACCCCGGCTTCTATCAAACCAGTTGTCAGTCATCTCAGCTGGTGGTCACTTTTTATTAACGGCCCAATCACCCACGGGCAAGTGTAGCAAAGTGTGGAAGATGGAATCTACGTGCTGAACGGCACCTATGGTTTGGAGTTGATGGCCCAGATTGCCGGCGTCCCCATGTCGATGGACACCTGGCTCAACATGGCCATTCTTGTGTTCATGGTTGCAGCAAGCATTGCCTTGGTTCTCAGGGTCTCCTGGTTTGTGAGCAGCAACCGCAGCTCAGACAACTGGCCGTCGCAATCGAGCCACGGTATACGGCAGGCCTGTAACCGTACCTTGCGTGTCATACTGTCGTACTTCATGTTTCCTCTGGTGGCTTTGTCCTTTTACCAGCTTGATCAAGCCTCGTGACTACCTCTTTATCACACAAGCCTGGCCGCCACGCCCATCGTCGCCATGGTGGCTGCCTTTGTCTGGCTCATTCGGCAAATCCCAACACGCAATCTAGGCGCCCTCCTCTTCGACAGCACCAAACGATACAGGCAGCTGCCTCCTTCCGAAGACTTCCAGCGACAAGACGAGAGGTTCATTTTCATCATCTTCGCTCTCACTTTTGTTCGGGGCGCTGTCGTTGGCGGGTTGCAGATTTCCGGCGTAGCACAACTGGCTGTTCTTGGGGCTTGCGAGCTGATTTTGCTTGCCAGCATCGCCGGGTTCCAGGCGTACTCAACATTCTCGGTTGGAAGCATCGCAGCTACCATCAGGCTCTGCAGTTTGGTATTCCTGATGGCTTTTCTGCCTGGATTTGCCACCACTAGTATCTAGAGTGCCATTGGATACTTGCTCTTAACTATTCATGCCGGCATGCTTGTGCTTGGGTTTCTCGTCCCCGCAGCTTGTGATCTTGCCAGCATCGTCAAAACCTGGTGGACAGCGCCAAAGCCCGATGTAGGTCTTATTTTCTGCGGTCATCTTCCGGTCTAACATTTTCACTCTGGTAGGCTTACGGGCTTCGTGAGTTACGTCGGCGTGATGTGTCGCCATCAAATCTGTCCATGCATACTGCCAACGAGCTCGCCACATCATATCCAGCACCATATGATGTTGAAGAGCCCAACGCAGTCTCCTTGCGGCCGACATATAGGCCAGGCAGCCCCAGCACTATGCGCCTGAGCCATTCGACCGCTTCAAGTCGCTACTTTCGGTTACCACGGTCGAGCGCATCCCTCTCATCTGGGGACCATCCACGCAGCCTAGGCTCTTCCATTTACAGTTCCTCCAGGACGGTCTCGACTTCCAATTCCATCACAGATATGCATTCTATGCCACTCTCTCCACCGCTCGTGAGTCCGACCCCCTTGTCCGAGTCAATCTGGGAGGAAGTCGGCACCACGTCGCAAGCCTCGCCTACCGGTGTAGACAGTGAGCCGCTCGGCGCGCGATGGAACGACTATTCCTTCCGGGAGGCAGATCTTTATTACGGCGCCCCCCGCCCGCGGCCTACGGGGAGGGCTTCGGAAGAGCTGCCCCGGCCGCCTGCTCCTCGCCCATCCTTCCGCTCCTCATCGGGATTTTGGGTCAAGGTCACTGGGCAGGCGGACGCCTCCGAGCAAGGTTTCCGGGTCCCTTGCTCAAGGCCGCGCCCGGAAGTGGGCTTTGTGGTCGTCAGACCAGACAGGCCGAATAACCTCGGGGACGGTCCGGGTGGCGGCGCGATGCGGAGTACCTCTCCGGGCGCTTGAAGGATTTTATAGTGGGTCTACGAAGACATGCCCGAACGAGCTTTGTAAAGGCTGAAGCGCAAGGTGCAATTGGGAAAGGCTGGTCAAGGACAATATTGGCTTCTGGAAATCATGAGCGATGTCTCCTCGCAACATGTGTGCCTCATGGTCTATGTGACATTTGATCAAACAATCACTTGATGGTTGAAAAACTTTGCCATGGGCCAGCTTCTTTTCGTTCAGTCGCGGTCTGTCGGTGACGATGTGTGGTTCCGAGCACATCAAATCTACCGACGTCACGAGAGGCTCGGTCGAAAGGCAGGGTTCAGGGCAGTTGAAAATTCTATCGCCACAAAGGAAGGTTGTTTGAGGGAGCAGGGGTGGTAGAGTTGCAACCAGAGAGGGGGGGGGGGGGTTCAGGGATGTCGGCAGGTTTTGTACTAATAGTGTTACATACGTAGCACGCGCTCTCTTCTAACGACTGGGAACTGGACAGCCACGACGGAAGAGGGTAGCCGACGTTTCATACAGGAATCCGAGTCACAGTCAACCAGGAGAAGTTGTACTAGTACGATGGGAATGCCATTAAATCGTCAAGAAATGGTCGCATATGGATAGACCAATAGTATCCGGAAGAAAAGAAAAAGAAAAAAAGGCCGTACCAGAACGAACACGCTCGCTTCCGCAATTCTGAATAATGGAAATTGGTATCACAGTATCAGGCCACTCCCTTTTTTTTCCCACAGTTCCACCCCTGCCCCCCCCCCCACTCAAACGCTCTATCTGCTGTTGTTGGTATCGGGCCAAGTCTCCTCGGTATCATGAGTCGTGAGCAGCAGGTCTGTAGTCTTCGTGATGCCCCCCTGGTCCAGTATGTTCTCGGTGCTGTCGTCGGCCTTCGTCGCCGAGCTCCCCGCGACGGATGCGACCCGGTCGACACCGGCGCCCAGCGGTTGCATGCCGCTGCGCTTGGTGCCCCAGGTCTGCAGCACGTACCGCGACGGCGTCGTCGTCTTGGGCGGCCGCGAGACGCCGCTGCTGCCGCCGCTCGCGCTGCGGCTCTTGGCGGCGAAGTACTTGACCATGGGCGCCAGGGGCGGCACGCACGCGATGACGATGCCCACGCACGTCTCTATGATGGACCACTGGATGGCCGGCGCCGAGTCTAGGTAGTTGGAGAGGTTCTGGATGGTCTGGATCCGGATGGCCTGGATGACGGTGACGAAGACGCCGAGGATGAAGAGGCCGAGGAGCACCGCCTTCTTGCGCCGCTGGATCTGGGAAGTGATGATGACGGGGAACGGCAGGAACATGCTGTTGGGCCGCCGTTTGTCAGTTTTCTACCAAATTTGGGGGTCTTTCTGGAAAGGGGGAGAGGGAGTCTTACATCAAGACGTCAAAGACGATGGTCAAGGACGAGAACGCCAAGTAGAAGGCCACGCCATTTACGCAGTGTCCCACGTCGACGGGGATCGACGGGTCATACTGCTTTTCAACCTGGTTGTTTTGGGGGTCAGCCAGAAGACACTTTTCCCATCCCTTCCCCGGCATCATTTTCTTTTCTCTCTCTTACCGGTGTGCACAGAAACACGAAGACGAGGAGGAAGGCAATGTGTGCCATCGTACACGTCACCGCGACGATGATGGTGCCCATCTTGTAGCGGCCTTCTGGGAAGAAGCGCAGGTAGGAGCAGAGCAGGCTCATTTTGAAGCCCCAGAGGCTGACGACGTAGCTAGAAAAGAAGGGCGGCCGTTGTTAGCAAAACCCGGGTTTGGGAGACTCGAATTCTGGTGCCGTGATCGAAACTCACAATGGTCCGCCTATGAATTGCAGCTTTTTAGGAAAACACCGTCAGCATGAGTTGCAAGCAGAGGCGGAAAGCTTCTCTCACCTTGCCAAAGTGAAAGACATTCTGGTCGGGCATATTCTTTAGGCTGGTGATTCCAAGGCCCCATTTCGTCTCTGTGGTTCTAGTTAGGGACGGGGCGGAGAGTAGAAGGTTTCGTCGCAAATGTCTTACGGATCACGGTGCATACCGCATAGCCACAGGCTCCCAGCTGAGTAAGGAGGGGGAAAAGTCAGTATCAGAAACCATCAAGACCATGATTCTCGTGTCGAACCTACCCAGGAGATAACAATCATACAGTCATCTGGGACATAGATTCGTCAGCGTTGGCCTCCGTGCGGCAAGACTAGCCCTCCCCTCCCCTCGATGCTTCTAACGTACCATATCCAACGGCCTTGACCAGCGTCGTCCGGACATACAATCTGAGGCAGACGAGCAACAGCGCAATGGAGATGAAGATGACGCAGAGCGCGGCAATGTGCGGCCCGCTGGTCGGCGTGTCTGTTGGCGTGTTGTAAGTCCAGGCCACCATGATGCCCGTGATGGGAGATTCGATGCCCCCCCTCTTCTTCTTTTTTTTTCTTTTTTTTTCGTTTCCTATGTGCAGTGGCTCGACGGATCAGAAGGGGACTGGGAGAAGAGGCCATGTATAAACAAGGAACGCCACAAGCCAAGACGTTCGAGAACAGCGGGTAGACGGGAGGGAGGGCGAGAGGGCCGCACGCACTTCTGCCAATACCGTAACCCTGCCTGCCGGGGCGGGGGCAGAGAGAAACAAGCAAGTCCAACGAGCGTTCTGCTGCCCGCGTGTATCAAGAGCCGTTTGCGACCCTGCGGGCTGGTGCGTCAGACCCTTGCCTGCATTGCCTGCTCGAACGGCACTGCACGAGGGAGGCGTCGAGATTGCCCCCCCCGCGGATGTGATGTGGCTTGCTGAAGAACTTGGCATTGCCGGGATACTCCCACAATCCACTAGCAAGGTTGTTTTTTTTTCTGTTTACCATTATTGTTATTGCCATTCTTCTTGTTGTAACGCTATTTCTGATTATATGGAATCTTGTTGCTTTTGTTACCAACAGTGTTCCATAATCTTAACTTGGCGGGAGAGAGGGATCAGAAACGAAACCGCGGCTGGATGGCAGGCCGTGCTCCCACGGTACTTGACCACACGGACTGCCGCGCACACACGACAATCGATCTGCACCCCAAGTTACCGAAACAAGACATGTACTCTCCCCCCAGTAGCACACACACACACACACACACACGCGCGCACAAGCGCGAGAGAGGTATATAAGATTAGACGTTTATGACACGCATGAGACAGACTTCAGTCAAACCCGGCCTTGCAGCGGCGGTGGCCCGATCCCCCCTTGCTGAAGACGATCTTGGTCCGTGAGCCTTGGGACGCGCCGTATCCAAGACGAAATAGAACAGAGAGAGAGGGAGTGATGATGATGAGATGCATGGCTTTCTTGTTCATTAGCTTATTGGAGGCGGCGTTCAAAACCGGGGAGGGGGGCTGCCTCTCCTGGAAATTGACACGTCACATTCGGAAATCGGTCAACCAACCCTCGGTGAGAACTTTTCCGTCTTAATTTCAAACCTTGCCGTGCTTTGCTATGCCCCGGACGCATCAACGGACACCACCTCCGAGCTCCTACCCTCGCATCGCAAAGAGAGGAAGAGGGAGAGGGAGCATACTACACTACGTAGCGAAATGAGCAACCAGCCAGGGATCCCCTCGAGGCCTCGATATGCGAAAAATAATTCAGACGGACGGGGGGTGTCTGGCCTCGTAGGGCCCCCTTCCCGGTATGATCCCACCTCTCCAGGGGTTCACGAGTCAAGCGCCCGCGTCGGGCTGGGTTGCGGCCATCCCGGTGGAGCGAATCGGGGATCCGGATAAGACTCCGGTTATGTGGATCATCCCGGCCCGTACCCTTGCCGCTCAACCAGCCCCCGGGCGGTCCCCATCATTACAGACGAACGACTTACGATCTTGGGATTGTTGGTTCAGGGTTGCAATGGGCGCACAGGACGGGGGGAACGCAAAGTCCGCATCTTTCTCATTTGTCAGCGCCTTTGTTTTTCTTTTTCTTTTCCTACTTTTTTTTTTTTCCCTACACGCAGGGGGTTTGGGGGGGACGTTGCCAATACTTGTGTACTTTTGGGACAAAGTTTAATCCCCCTCCCCTACTAGTTGACAACCGTCGGCCCTTTGCTCCTGGTTCGTAAACAGACCGCGAGCTGGCCAGGGTGAAAACCAGCATCGCGGCATGGGCGTACGGGGTTGCTGGGCTTACCGCTCCCCGAGCCGAGCGGAGATCATGTCCTGAACGGTGCAAAAGCGCGCAGAAGTGCGTAACCCAAAGTTGGAAAATGTCGGCTCTCCTCCTCCCTCCATCGCCGGGGTGCTCCCACTTGCCATGCTTACGTCGCCACATTCACACCGGCATTTCGAGGGAAGGATCCAATCGCGAAGGCCAATTGAGGGAGTAGATAGAGAGAGAGGGGCCGCGTCGGGCAGAGTCGTGTACAACTACCAGCGTTCCCTCGTGAGAAATTCGAGAGACTGCGTCCCCCCCCCTTCTTATCCCTCCATCGTTTCCTCGGGGCTTTGAAGGTTTTCCCTGCTTGTCCGTCACGACGTTCCAGACCGTTGCGGCCCAGTTGTAAGGGAAAGCGAAGAGCACGTCCCCCCTCCTTTCTTTTCTTCCTCCCCTCCCGTCTCACCCCCGGTCGCCGAGTGAAAAGGAAACGATTAAGATGCGACGACCTTCGACCCTCGCTGCCTTGCTCTTGGCCAGCGGGAGCGTTTGCGCGTCCGTGGCGTCGGCTCGGGGCAGATCCACAACGGCGTCGTTGATGCCGTTCAGGAACTCGACGCGCGAGTGCAAGTACCTCCCGGGGGACGCGGGATGGCCCTCTGCCAATGCGTGGGCGCGGCTCAACGAGACCGTCGGAGGACGTCTGGTCGCGACCGTCCCTCTGGGGAGCCCGTGTCACGGAGCGGCTTACAATGCGACAGAGTGCGCCCTTCTTCAGGGCGAATGGCTCTACTCCGAAGTACAGTACGTTTCCCCTCTCCTCTCCTCCCGCCCATCAGTTTTACTCTTTCTCGTCTCATGTTCGAGGCCTGCGCGTACCATGTTTTCTGTTTTGTTTCTTTGTGCTATCGCGTGGACCCGGGCAACTCTATGAGGCACCGCCCTTGTCGCGGCCACGTCTCTTGGCTTGCGTGTTCCCCTCCATTGGCACCATCTGGTCCACACGAGAGAGATTGATATCGTGGCTAACCCTAACCCGCACAGCATGGGCTCCTCGTCCTCCGTCATGGCCCCGCTGTTCGCCAACGCGAGCTGCGACCCGTTCACGCCCAAAGATGTCCCCTGCACGTTGGGCAACTACGTGAGCTACGCCGTGAACGCCACCGGGCCCGCCGACGTCCAGGCCACGCTCGCGTTCGCCGACCAGAACAACGTGCGCCTCGTCATCCGCAACACCGGCCACGACTACAATGGCAGGTCGACGGGCGCCGGCGGGCTCGCCGTCTGGACCCACTACATCAAGGGCACCGAGATCCTCGACTGGGACGACGGCCACTACGCCGGCAAGGCCCTCAAGGCCGGCGCCGGCGTCCAGGGCTTCGAGGCCATCGCCGCGGCCAACGAAGCCGGGCTGGCGGTCGTCACGGGCGAGTGCCCCACCGTCGGCTTCGCCGGGGGGTACGTCCAGTCGGGCGGCCACTCGGCGCTGAGCACCGTCTACGGCCTCGCGGCCGACAACACCCTGTCCTTCGAGGTCGTCACCCCGACCGGCGAGCTCGTCACGGCCTCGCGGACGGAGAACCAGGACCTCTACTGGGCCCTGAGCGGCGGCGGCGGCGGCAACTACGGCGTCGTCACCTCCATCACCGCGAGGGCGCACCCCGACGCCCCCGTCAGCGGCGCAAAGTTCGCCGTCACGGTCGCCGACAACGCCACCTTGTTCCGCGTGGTTGACGCCTTCCACGCCGCCCTCCCGGACATCGTGGACTCGGGCGTCATGGTCATCTACTTCTTCGGCCCGGGCTTCCTCCAGTCGCCGGCCCTGACGGCCTACAACAAGACCCAGGCCGAGGTCGAGCAGATCCTCGCGCCCCTCGTCGACTCCCTCGCCCTGCTCAACGTCACCCTCCAGCCCAACTACACCTCGTTCGGCACCTACCGCGACCACTTCAACCACTACTGGGGCCCCCTGCCCTCGGGCAACATCCAGGTCGGCACGCAGCTCTTTGGCGGCCGCCTCCTCCCGCGCTCCGTCCTCCCCGCCTTCGGCCCGACCGCGCGGCAGCTCGTCGAGCTCGGCGTCACCTACATCGGCGTCGGCCTCAACGTCTCGCGCTTCGGCGGCGACGGCGCCAACGCCGTGCTGCCGCAGTGGCGCGACTCCATCGTGCAGGTCTCGCTGACACTGCCGTGGAGCTTCGAGGTCCCCTTCGCCGACATGGTGGCCGAGCAGACCCGCATGACCGAGGTCGTGCAGCCCGTCATCGAGGCCGCGACCCCCGGCGCCGGCGCGTACATCAACGAGGCCGACTTCCAGCAGAAGGACTGGCAGGAGACCTTCTTCGGCGTCAACTACCCCGAGCTTTTGAAGATCAAGAACAAGTACGACCCCAACGGGCTGCTGTACAACGTTGCCGCCGTCGGCAGCGATGCATGGACCGTTGACTACCACGGGCGGATGTGCAGGGCGGATGTGCCGGGTACGGTGTATTGAGGAGGGGGTTCCTCGAGGCCATCTCTCTCGGGTGCCGCTGAATTCTTGGGTGCAAACCGTAGACAACCTCACAGTGAGTCAGCTCATATCCTGGATCTGACATAGTAATGTAATCTGTCGTCAAAGTCGAAACCTATGCACTGCTCCTTCTCTGTCTCCTATGCACTGTAATCGACATGCAATGTCGTTGATGTGATACAAGCATACAAGCATACAAGCCTCTTGTCATCTCCGCAACACGCAGTTACACACTAAGAAGGGTGCTAGGCGACAAAGCAAGATCAGCGCCTCAGAAAGTTCAAAAGTGGCTGGACACTACTCCTGCACGAATCGGGGGGGGGGGGCTAGTTCATCTGGCTTCCTAGTGTGAGCTGGCTAGTTTCACTCCCACCGCGCGAACTAGTGGGATCACCTACCAGGCTAAGCAACGGAGCCATGTCTTGGTCGTTGGCCCGGGATTGAGCAAAATTTGCCTCAAAGAGAGAAGCGACTGTGGCGAGACCGGAGATTATCCTTTGTACTACCTAGGGGTGATGGCCCATTGTAGGGTCCATCGCCGGCATCCAACAAGGTGTCACTGATTCCAAGCGAGTTGAGAATATCGTTGAATTATAATAAGTCAATTCGTATGCGTTGAAGTAGCTAACTCCTGCGACAGTCATCCGTAAATAAAATCTTGAAAAGCTCGTATATAAATCTGTGCGAAACGCCCGCATTCCATTCTGAGGGGGGGGGAAAAACATCATCAACTCCGTAGACGGCGTATAATCAACTCCAAGACGTGACCAAAATACACCAAGAGTCTGCGCAAAGCTCCGCGTAAGAAATGCCAATCAATGCAGGTGAGACATAACCAATGTGAACAGACATGGAAGGAGGGAGGTACTGGGAAAATCATCAAGACGATGGTGCTTACACAGGGGTTCCGCCGTTGCAATGCAGTTGAAGACACCTAAACAATACCGTTGGAGCGTCGGCCACGGGATGACTCGATGCTCTGGTGGCTCTCGCGCCTCTGCGAGGTGACAGAGAAGCGTCTGGAGATGGCATTGTCGATCTCAACGTGGTCGACGTCAATGTGTTTCTTGGGAACCCAGAAGACCTGCACGAGCCCGACAACGGCGAACAGAGCGCAGCTGAACCAGGCTGCGCCAGAGCCTAAGAAACTGTATATTACACCCACGAGCGGCGGCGAGACGGTTCTGGCGAGACAGGCACCTGACATTGCCAGGCCGTTGACCTTTCCGAGGGCTTGCGAGGTTGGGGTCGCGTTCTTGATGAGGATGAGCGTGACGGGGCCTACGATGACGCCGTAGAAGCTCTGCAGGATGAGGGAAAACCAGATGCCGGCCTCGGTCAGTGCTTCGGGAAGGGCCGACAGGAAGGGCACGAAGAGGTACGCCGTGGGATATACGACGGCCATGGCGACGAAGGAGCCCCAGACACCGACACGCTCGACAAAGATGGGGAAAATCAGACCCTGGATGAAAAGGCCTATAAAACCGTTTATGGCCAGGTAGATGCCGACATCGTGGAGCTTGTTGCCCAAGCCGCCCTTCAGATCGAGGTGTCCCCGGGGCTGTTGACGGGCGTCCTGGAGATAGGTCGGCAAGAGGGTGGCGGCCGCCATCTGATGGTAGGAGAAGATGATGAGGGCGATGATGAGCATGACAACGGTCTTGTTGAAGGTCTTGACCTTCTTCTGGCCCGTCGCCTGGGCACGGGAATTGAGCAAGTGCTGTCGCAAGTCCTCGGGCACAACCCTGATGGAGTGGACGGTTCCAAAAGACGAGCGTCTCAGGTCAAAATCGTGCTCAAAGGGCAGAGGCAAGCTGGACTCGGCGAAACGCGGCCTCGAGTGGCTAGTGGATATGGAGCGGCGCGGGTTGAAGGAGCGGATGGGGGCGCGGCGCAGGGGTGTGGTCTCGTCCGTGACGTCATCGTCATCAACGGCGACGCTGTTGCGGCCGTGATGGTACTCGTGGTCGTCTTCGTTCCAGTCCTCCTTGGTCTCTTCGAGAAAGAAAATGCCTTGGATGACGGCCATGAGGATTGCGACGACGGACACAAGGTTGGGAAGCAGATAGGGATAGCGACCAAAAATACCGTCCTGAGAGAAGACGGTCGGGTATTGTTCGGCGGGCTGAGCGAGGAATCCTCCCATGGCAGAGCCAAGGATGCCGCCCAAAGTCCACACGAAGGGTTGCACAGCGTAAGCCTTGGCTACAATGGGCCAAGGAAAGTGCAATGTCAGCAAGCTGCCGTTTCGCTCACACGGACGGACGCAGGGCCAGCAACTCGCGCATGCGTGGGCGCGCGGAGGAGCAGTATAGGAGGAAAGAAGAAGAGAACAACTCACGCTCATGATCGGGGTTCTTGACCATCTCGGCGACCATGGTCTGCATGACGGAGACGTTGCCGTTGAGAGCACCACCGACGAAGCGGGCGAGGAGGGCAACCCAGTAGGTCTGTGCCAAGCCGAAAATCAGACTCGAGATACAGACGCCGACCAGGCCAAACAGAACGACGGGTTTGCGGCCGATGCGGTCGGACAAGGCACCCCAGCCTATGGACGTGATGGCCTCAGCTACAGCGTAAGCGGAGATCAAGAGACCGGCGGCGAAGGGAGCATCTTTGGGATCGACGCCGATGTGCTCGACCATGGGGTAGGTATAGGCCAGAATGGAGTTGAAGGCGATGGGCTCTGAGAATCGACATATTGCTGTTGAGAGGTGTTAGCTGTGTTGGACTGGATATCATTTATTGTGAAGAATAGGCAGTGTTTTTTTTTTGTCTGTTCTGTCCTGCCGTCTTCTTCTTTTTCTTCTTCTCTCGAGCGAGAGGGGTATGGGTGGATGGATGGATGGATGGATGGATGGATAGATGGATGGATAGACGGGATGAAGAAGACGGAAGAGGAGGGTGGCAGTACCAAGGACGGCCAATTGCTTTGTCGGAAAGGCGTTTGGATCTTTTCTTTTTGATTGAGGCATGATGTCGAAATGTGACTGGAGCCTCTTCTTGTCTGTCGAGATTTTCCCTTTTGTTTTGGGGGTGGAATTTCCTCCTTTCGTGGTTGGAAAGTTTGGAATGTGAAGAGGAGGGAGAAGAATGACGCTTTTGGTCCCACGTCAAATAAATTACTGCGGGGTTTCGTGGAGAGGTTGGGGGTCGGTTTCGGGGGGGAGGCAAGCAAGTCATTAGTGAAATAACGGCGTTGGCAGACGGCCGGCCACACTTGGGTGGCCCACTGTGTGTTATGCACCTCACCGCCTGACCCGTTCATGATCTGCACTCTACTACTAGAGGCTGGCCACACACACACACACACACACACCCCCATGCCAGATCAGTTCCATCTGTCTACGTACATACCATAGTAGTACACTACTAGGTACTAGATTCAGTCGAGCCATGGCGTCATGTTGGCGAAACTGGGAAACAAGGGGAGGTAAATGAAAAGGATCGGAATCTAGCCGCTTGAGGCTCCAACTTGAACTATCGCCAAGCGTAGTTCATCCAAGTACCGGTAGTGTACGAAACGTAGTACCTAGGTACCTAGTAGTGCGGCAAGAGGAACAAAAAGAAAGAATCACCCTTTCCAGTCGATTTACGCCCGTGTCTCGCTCCGAGTCTGGGTCTGAGACGGAGCAAAACATGGCAGCTTCGGACTTTTATTCTCGCCGCTCGAATTAGTCTAGTGTAACCGTCGTGCTTGCTTGGCGCTTATCGTGTTAACTTGCGGTGGAAACGAGGGTGAGGTGAGGTCATGCACGCATACGCATGCTGCATTGCATATGCGGAGAGCAACAGAGTACCTACCTACCTACCTACGGTAAGGGTAGGTAGCTACAGCTTACGAACGAGCCTTGCTTGCTTGGGGGGAGCTATCTGGCCATGTCATACCATGGCCTATTCGGATCTCACTCGGCAGACGCGAGCCGGGCCTGCTTCTGCATCTGGCTTGGTTTGGCCTTGGCCTGAGTCCAATCGTCCACCATAAACGTCCTTTATGTAGGTAGTTCGTCTCACGAATCCCCGTGGTGTGACAGCTACCTAAGCCAGTTAATTACAATGTCTTGCCCGAGTCCTAGTCTGACGCCCGAGGACGACGACACGAATCGAGTTCGCCGTTGCGTTGTGGGGTGTTTGTTGTATCTGTATCAACAACTACCTGTGCCTACTCGACTCAGCAAGCATCACGCGCGTATTTCCCACCCATTCGATGCTGCGCCGTTATCTTGGAGGGGAAGAAAGCTGTCCGCCGATTGGAAAACCGAGGTGGAGGAAAAGCGGTGAGTTCCCCTCACTCAATCTTTATCGTTACATGTCAACTCCCCGACCAAAATAAATATAAGCATAATCATCGACCATGCCTATCTCGTCTAAACTCCCCAAATTCGCAATGGGCCCCCTCCCTCAGTAGATGCTCCATTTACCATCCATGTATCAACACATCCAGACAGAACGCCTTCGCGGCGTCTTCGCTTACAATGCGCGACATGTGCAAATCCCTGGAAAACTTACTGGCTTGTCAGATCGACCGACCAAGGCAAATCCTTGCCTTTAAACCTGCCAAACCCGTTGAGCTGGCTGGCTGGCTGGCTGGCTGGCTGGCTTGTCTGATTTTTAAGCTTTGAGCTTGCTTCAGCTGTGAGTTCAGCCAAACGGGCACAGCGTCAATGCATGCACGTGGCAACTGATGCAACTCACAGCCACTCGAATTCCCGTACAAACACAAAGTAGGAAAAAAGTTTAAATTCAAAAAATAAAAAAAGTATCAATCTGTATCCGTACAGGTTGCCAAAGAAGTGGCGGCGCGGCGGTCCCGCCAAGAACCCACCAGGCCCGCCTGCGCTACAGATCAAAGACAGGGTCCGGGAGGGTATGCAAGTCATCGTGTTTCTGCCATCGTCATTTTCACGAAACCCGCCTTGCCTGATGCTGCCAGCGGGGCTGACCAAATAAATCTCCCCACCTTTGGGGCTTCTTTTTGCTATTCCGAGACCCCTACCCCTAAGACATTCCATCCCAAGATAGACCCTCTACGTACCTAGTAGTCTATTGTTTTACTTCCAGAGCCGAGATCCAAATGGAAGTGCGAGATAAAGCTATGACTCGGGCAGATCACTGCATCAAACCGAGGACGAAGCATAATTCTGGTATAGACTTCCCGGTCAATAATAGCATACCCGAAGACACGACACAGTGCCTACATTGTCTGGGGTTACAATTCCATTCGATACCGCCCGTACTCTGGATACACGGGAGGCTGCTGGTTTCCTCTCTGCAAAGGCGAGAAGAGTCGTTGAACGGGCGCTGGCAACCGAAGCTAGCAACGCTCATCCAGCCATTGCTCATATTTGCAATCACTTATTGAACCCACCGACGATGCAGCAGCCACAGATGACGCGGCTCAAAAGAGAAAGGCTCTATCCTCTACGCAATCCACCAAGGTATACGGCGGCATCGTGACCGGGCTCTCAGAAGCGGCCATCAGCGCGGCAGAGCGTCTGCCGTCTGCGGCAAGTCGTCACCCCCGAGCTCCCTGGCATCACCAACCCGCCCCTTTGCGGATTATATCGAAACTTGCGGTGACGCAGTTTCCAATGCCATTGTATTACCGGGGCGTTTGGACGACATCTTGGAGATTGAGCTTCAGCAAGACTGGGAGCTGGACGTATTCATCTTAGCCATGTTTTGCTATGACAAGGACATTGCATTGACTGCTTTTGACCGTAGCGAGGAGGCCGAAGTCGCCCAAGCCAAGTTCGAAGTAGCTCGTGAAGCCGTACCGATCTCTCACCCGAGCCATCTTCCCACGCTGGGACCAGGACTTCCCCCAATCGGCTCGCCCATGCTGCCAGAAGAACTCGAGTACCGAAAAGTCGTCTTTGAGGCAGCTTTCGAGATCCTCAGAGAGGCAGTCCGTCAGAAGGGCGCTCTAACCTAGCGTGAGCCGCCCCCACCGTTCCAGCCCTTCCATCCCGCGCTGGGTGTCCGTCTACTTGAACAAGGCCACGCCGAGCAGGCCGAAATCGGTTATCGTAAGGACCTAGGGTACGATCCCGACAGCCGGACACAACGTTGTGCTCCATGACTTGCAAGAGCGTCTCGTAAGGCTGGCAACGACGACGAGACGACAATGGTCAAGCGCGGCCGGGACATTGCCCTGGCTTCTGCGGACGTCCCCATCGCAGCATCCTGTTTCCGCGCCGCGACAGCTGTGAGATGTACTCCAAATGGTACTGGCTGTCCTAATATGGGTGGAATGCGCGAGACGTGAGCCGATATAAAGAGCCTTGCATATTGCTTCGAAACTCGAATCGGTAGTTGTCCATAGCACGCGCGTGTGTGGTCTATCCGGTCCATCAAATAGTCGCAAGGACGACAACTTTTTTTTTTCTTTTTCAGGCAATCATTTGCTGAACGAATGAGAGAGGACTGCCTGGTTATCGGATGGGGTGCGCAAGAACTTGTATCCCCAGAGACATAGACATCCTATGTAACATTTCAACGGTTCCTTTCAAGACCAACGACGGGCCGTCGACGGATCGCAAGTCTTCATGTCATTCGGATGCAAAGCAATGACAGTCTCCTCCAAAGAGAAGATTTGCTCTTGCCTTCTTGTTTGTGTATGAAAATGACATTAAATCCGTGGGAAAACGGTAGAAGAGATTTCTGATCATGCCCGCCTCGATGAATAGAGAGCACACGCAAAGATCCCTTGCAGAGTTTGCACGGAATTGTATTCGCGGCTACCTCGTCCGTTCATGCTGCGGAGCGATCTCTTTCTACTTTGTGCAGTGAGGCCAGATGGGACATATAAACTCATACGGCCTGCCCAAGCCTCACTTCATCGGCGAACTGCCCGTAGCCATGGTGTTGAGCAACAGCCACTCAGTTGACAACAAATGTGGCCCTCACGGATACAACAGCTCGTCGCCAAGGTGCAGCACTGTAGACACGGTACACTTGAGTCAAGTCAAGGGCCACACCGGACTTCGGATCTGGGGGCCCCGAGAAGCAGCATCCGAGATTTCCATCACGTGTACGTGTAGATACCCGGAGTCCAGTCAAGCCGACAGCTAAGCTGCAAACATGTGAAGAGAGGCAGGGCCGCGGATGTCATTCAAGAATATATGCTGATCACATCAAAAATTTACGATGGGCGAATGTATGTACGCTCAATCATTGCGCTCCCTCTCACCTGCCAGTAGGCAGAGAGGCATCGCACCCAAGATTGTTCGCTTCCTTCTCCATTTCGATCCCGGTATCCGATGGTCCTGGGTTCAGCCGAAGCGAACCTCTCAACGAATTTTGTTTCCACGAGAACATGAATGTTTATTTTGCGTTGTTCAATAATGGAGAAGAAGGAGGAAAGAGAGAAAGGGATTTTCGCCAAGGTCAACTTTTGTAGTCGGAACGAGATTTTTTTTTTTGGTGCGTGTGCCTCAGGCAACGATTAACCTGGCGGGGGGCGGGACTGGAGGGTTCCTGCACCGGTCTTCGGCAACCTGAGAGCCCAAGTGGGCCCCTGCAACGACATGCCGTCACTTGCCGCTGGCCATCTCAATCTCCCGTGCTTGTCTTGTCCCTGGATAATCTCTCCTTGATCAATCTTGCTCCTCCCCCAACACCCACTGATAACCTCCCCAACATGGCCAAACCAGCAGCAATGGCTGTAGAAGGCCTCCCGAGGTTCTTGCTTCCGAGACTCAGCTGGACTGGTCCGGCAACAGCTTCCCAAGGTCTGCGACCCCTCGCTGCCTTGACTCCGAATTCCCGCCGACGGATGCACACACAGCCCAATGCGCTGCGCTACTCGAACATATCACCAAAATGTCTCAGCACCGCCTTCAACCCCAAGCGCGCCTCGGTCCTGGAAACCCCAGGATTGACTAGATCGTTCCACGCGACCCCTGCGAGACGACGCGACCACCACTTTGATACCTTGAAGTTTGTGCAGCGGCTGAAGAGCGAGGGGTTCACAGAGGTGCAAGCCGAGGCCATGATGAAGGTCCTCAACGATGTGATAGAGGAGAGGTAATACGGCATGTCCTTGGTCCCGTGATCCGCTTTATCTTACTGTAGTCCAGCATACAAAATCTCACCCGAACCATGGTCCTCCGCGAAGACGCTGCCAAGGCCACATACACCCAGAAGGTCGACTTTGCTAAGCTGCGATCCGAGCTTCTCTCCGCCGACAGCACCGAGTCCAGCACGACGCGCGCGTCCCACGAGAAGCTGAGCAACGACATTGCGAAGCTCAGCTCCCGTCTGCGCGACGAGATCGGCCGGACCCAGGCTAGCGTACGCTTGGATCTCAACCTGGAGAAGGGTCGCATCCGTGAGGAGGCTGTCGGCCAAGAGCTCAAGATCAAGGAGACGGAGACCAAGATTGAACAAGAGGTCGCGGCGCTGCGTGAGAAGCTGGAGCAAGTCAAGTTTCAGACGCTTCAGTGGCTTATGGGAGTATGCACTGGTTTCGCCGCTCTGCTTCTTGGTGCCTGGAGATTGCTCATGTAGATGGAGACTTGGACCACTCGACACCAGCCCATCGGAGAGATATTCGAGTGCTTTCAGTAGAAGACGGAAGGTTAGGTATACCCTGATAAGTCAGCCACCAGTGCCTGTACGGAACGGAACGGACACTTGTCCCGTCACAATGAGGCCTGCCAAGCTCGGCTATCTCTTAATATTGGATAGCCAGTTCTATGCCTAACTGCTCTTGTCAAGAGAACAGTGACAGCAGCTGTGTAGAAGATGCGGGTGGTGGCCTAAGAGGAACTACCCCTCCACCGTACCTGCCTCAGATAGAATTTCTTGCAAAGACCCTCAAGCGAGGGCTCCTGCCGCCGTAGACGAAAAACTTCTTTGCCGTCTACCTAGACATATCTCTCGTCCCGTGTGATTTTTCTGGTGCAGCCTTTCCCTCCAACCTCGCAACCGCCCGAGGCACCCTTCTCCTTCTATGTCTGTCTGCATCGATATCTCAAACGCTCCCTTTCACGATACCCGCCACGACGCAACGTCAACATGTCGGTACCTGCCGCACCAGCTCTCAACTCGGACATCGATTCCGCGCAGGTAGGCTTCGCCATGCATCGGTCCAGCGAGGAGTCCAGCACTAATGGTCGCGATTGTACTCAGAGTCCTCTGGAACCAGCTCTCAGCGATGAAATGAAGAGGGATCTTGCTCGCATCGGTTTCCACCGCCTAGCCCTTGGCAAGAACGACTTCGACATCAGTGATACAGCCATTGAATTTAAGGTGAACAATTGTCAGTTCCTTCTACACATTGCGATCGACCCAAAGATTACTGGGACTCTGACAAGCTTGAATCTGACCTGTAATATAGACAGCTCCTGGACATATGGAGGCGACCTACGTGGGTCACTACTCCTGGCTTGCGTAAGTTACATGATCATCAGACAATATTTCTTGAAGTCGGCGCAACTGATATGCTCCCTAAAGGTCTTGGTTCCCGTACAACCCTAACCATATCACTATCTACTTCATCTCCAACACGGGGAGTCAGAGCTTCTCCATCCCCGAGGCCATTCTGGCGCAGAACTTTGAATATTTCCAAGTTGCCCTCAAGATCAAACCCTCGGAGTTGGAATGGAAGGAGCAGGCCGAAAGGGAGTTCAAGCTACAGCGCAGTGAGGCTGGTGCTTTTGGATTGATCATCAGCTTCCTGTTGACGGGAACATTCCCGCAGCACCCTGACCCCAAGATACGATCGGCTCACGGCGTGATTGACGACTTCATCACCGCCATTCGCTTATCAGACTATACGGGCCTGCGCTGCCACGATCGTTTCGTTCACGCCGTCTGCTTGTGCGTCCGGCAATTACTGCTGGAGGACCGCAAAGCACTGCAGACGGTACACATCAGCAAGCTCTACAACCTCGCCGCCACTCATCCTCAACACCTCCGAGAACTTGCCAAGGTATTTGCGCAGGCAGCAGTGAAGCCCTGGATGCACTGCTGGATGGCCAAGTCGACCAAGCCGGCGACTATTTCTCGCTCCGTTGCCTACGATGAACTTTGCGGCACCGACCCAGACGAGTGGCGTCTGGTTGTCAAGCACTACATTCATCTGGTTGACCACAACGACAGTTTCGCCGTCGACGTTGCAAAGCAGGTGCGCAAGACGATGGAGGAGAGCAAGCGCCTCAACTCGATCGCTTCAGGTAAGTTTAGCTTTGGGAGTTGCGGTTCGGCGGGCAGGTGCTGATTGGTACATAGCTACGCAAGATGGGGCCAACAAGACGATTCACAAGTTGCCAGAGCACGTCGACTATGTCACCTACCGTGATCCCCTCGTTCCTGGAGAGGGTAAGGTGAAGGCGCAGCTTTTCACAATCTGAAATATGGTCACGCCGAACATGAATTAACAACTTGACCGGTAACGCTACTGTAGCACCGCAGCAATGTCACGCAAGGTTGAAGTTGGATGCCTGCGGATGAGGGTCGATAGCAAGCTAGATGCAACAGATGTTGCGGCATACACAGGTTTGGACGTACGGTGGCCGTCAAACAAATGAGCCAAATATCTAGTGTCGTCGAGACGACTGTCGTTGGCAAACAGGATAAGGGAAAAGCGGCTACATGATTAGCTCGGAATTGAGTCTCAGTTGTGAAACCCCTCGTTGGCATTTTTTTCTGTGCAGTTTCAGAGTCAACTTATCTGATTGAAGACGGCGCGGTGACGGACGTAGGAATGTGACGGCATCACAGAATGCAAATTAGTCGTCGGTTGGTTCGGATATCTTAACATGGAGACTCAATTTCCAACGGCCCAATTCAATTCATGTGTCGGAGATGCTTGGCCCGTGGCCGGCCGCAGCTGAATGACAAGCGGGCCTGGTTAGGTTAGGAAGGGAAAGGGGCATGTGCAGCTTACGTCACCCGCATGCGGCCAAACATGCTGCCGGGGCTGCAAACGGCCACCTCAGCATGAGATTCACGTGACGAGGAGAGACCTCTCGTGGTTGGTACCTACCTAGTAGTAGTGTACGGATACAGAGTGAAGGTGCACGGGCCCAGAAGACCTCGCGTGGCTGAAGACAGCGGAGCGGCAGGCTGGCAGGCCACAGGCAATTGGGAAAGGAAATCTCCAGTGCACAATAAACCTGGCCAAACCTGGGAGGCAACGTAAGGTACTACACCCAAAATAATGACCAACCTTTCCACCTCGCTTCGCACTACGTATCCCGTATTCACCTAGACCTACCTAACCTAGCCCATCTTTCCCACCCACCTCCCCCCCCCCCCAAACAAACCATCATCAACGCTTGCCCTCCAGATTGTCATCACTGCGAGGTGCATCGCTACCCCGTATTTACGCTTTCCTCCTCCTCTGCCGTTCTTTGTTTCCCTGTATTAATTGCCTTCTGCGCATTATTCGTTCGGGTCGCAAGGAAGCTATCCCCAGCTTCTTCTCCTTTCCCGAACCCGCACATCCTCACGACACCAACTCCACGTCGCCCGCATCCACGAAATCCCGCTGTTCCCCCCCGACCAGCCGGCTAATCCGACTCTGGGACCCGAAACCACTTAGCTAAGGAGCCCGACTTCGTCTCTGGAAGCTTCCTGTCGCACATACCGCCAGTCATGGCACCACTACCGATCAAGTTCCAGGAGCTGATCCAGCTCCAGACTGCCGGCGTTGAGGACTCCTCCATCGGCTTCAACTCCTGCGTAAGCCATTCTTGTCCCGTCCGCTCCTTGTCTTGAGATCTCTCCGTCGTCGCTAATCTGTCTCCTCCCAGACACTCGAGTCAGACTCGTACGTGTGCATCCGGGAAAAGAAGAACGAAGCTGCCCAGCCCGAAGTTGTCATCGTCGACCTGAAGAACGGCAACAATGTGACGCGGCGTCCCATCAAGGCCGACAGTGCCATCATGCACTGGACTCGCCAAGTCATCGCTCTCAAGGCGCAATCGAGAACACTCCAGATATTCGACCTCGAGAAGAAGGCAAAGCTCAAGTCCACAACCATGAACGAGGACGTCCAGTACTGGAAGTGGATCAACGAGACCTCCTTGGGCCTGGTAACAGACACAGCAGTCTACCATTGGGACGTCTACGACCCCAGCCAAGCTCAGCCGGTCGAGGTGTTCAAACGCAACGCCAACCTGAATGTATGTGCTGCTCTCGCCCTCTTCGCATCTAACGGGAACATCGTGAGCTAATATTCAGCAACCAGGGTTGCCAAATCATCAACTACCGCACCAACGCCGAGGGCAAGTGGATGGTCGTCGTGGGCATCTCGCAGCAACAGGGTCGCGTTGTTGGATCCATGCAGCTGTACTCCAAGGACCGCGGCATCAGCCAAGCAATTGAGGGCCACGCTGCCGCCTTCGGCACTCTGCGCCTCGAGGGTGCCCCCGCCGACACCAAGCTCTTCACCTTCGCCGTGAGGACGGCAACCGGCGCGAAGCTCCACATCGTCGAGGTCGACCACGCTGAATCAAACCCCGTCTTCCCCAAGAAGGCCGTCGACATCTTCTTCCCTCCCGAAGCTGTCAGCGATTTCCCCGTGGCCATGCAGGTGTCGCAGAAGTACGGTGTCATCTTCATGGTCACCAAGTACGGATTCATCCACGTCTACGACCTCGAGACCGCAGCCTGCATCTTCATGAACCGCATTTCCAGCGATACCATCTTCACCACCTCTCCCGATGCCGAGTCTCGTGGTATTGTCGGCATCAACCGCAAGGGTCAAGTGCTCTTCGTTTCGATCGACGACAGTAACGTCATTCCCTACCTCCTCCAGAACCCGGCCAACACCGAAATGGCTATCAAGATGGCATCACGAGCTGGCCTCCCTGGTGCTGATAATCTCTATGCTCGTCAGTTCGAGCAGCTGTTCAACAGCGGTCAGTTCATGGAGGCGGCAAAGATCGCGGCCAACTCCCCTCGCCAGTTCCTCCGAACTGCCGAAACGATTGAGAAGTTCAAGGCGCTGCCCCAGCAGCCTGGCCAGATGTCGTTTGTCCTGCAATACTTTGGTCTTCTTCTCGACAAGGGCGCGCTCAACGAGCACGAGTCCATCGAGCTGGCCCAGCCTGTCCTGGCCCAGAACCGTCTCAACCTTCTCGAGAAGTGGCAGAAGGAGAACAAGCTCACCCCTTCGGAGAGGCTCGGTGACCTCGTGCGGCCTCATGACCTGAACATGGCTCTCGCCATGTACATCAAGGCCAACGTCCCCCACAAGGTCGTCGCCGGCCTCGCCGAAACCGGCCAGTTCGACAAGATCCTGCCTTACGCCACCCAGACAGGCTACCAGCCCGACTACGTCCAGCTGCTCCAGCACATTGTTCGTGTCAACCCGGAGAAGGGAGCCGAGTTTGCCACGGCTTTGGCCAACAACGAGGGCGGTTCTCTGGTTGACATCGAGAGAGTCGTCGACATCTTCCAGTCCCAGGGCATGATCCAGCAGGCAACCGCCTTCCTCTTGGATGCACTAAAAGACAACAGACCTGACCAGGGCCACCTTCAGACTCGTCTCCTCGAGATGAACCTGATGAATGCGCCCCAGGTCGCCGATGCCATTCTTGGAAACGACATGTTCTCCCACTTCGACAAGACTCGCATTGCCACCCTCTGCGAACAGGCCGGCTTGGCCCAGAAGGCCCTGGAGCTCTACGAGGACCCCGCGGCTGTCAAGCGTGTTGTGATCAACATTGCCGCCACCCCCAACTTCAACCTTGACTGGTTGACCGGTTTCTTTGGCAAGCTGTCCGTTGAGCAGTCCCTCGACTGTTTGGACGCGATGATCAAGCACAACATCCGCCAGAACCTCCAGGCTGTGGTCCAAGTCGCGACCAAGTACTCTGATTTACTTGGCCCGGTCCGTCTGATCGACCTCTTTGAGAAGTACAAGACTGCTGAGGGTCTTTTCTACTACCTCGGAAGCATCGTCAACCTCTCGGAGGACCCTGACGTTCACTTCAAGTACATCGAGGCTGCCACCAAGATGGGCCAGTTCAACGAGGTTGAGCGCATTTGCAGAGACAGCAACTACTACAATGCCGAGAAGGTCAAGAACTTCCTGAAGGAGGCCAGGCTTCAGGAGCAGCTGCCCCTCATCATCGTCTGCGACCGCTTCAACTTTGTCCACGACTTGGTGCTCTACCTTTACCAGCAGCAGCAGTTCCAGTCCATCGAGACCTACGTTCAGCGTGTCAACCCCAGCCGGACACCTGCCGTCATCGGTGGTCTTCTGGATGTCGACTGCGACGAGAGCATAATCAAGAACCTGTTGTCGACTGTCAACCCGGCGTCGATCCCTATCGATGAGCTCGTCTCCGAGGTCGAGACTCGTAACCGTCTCAAGCTCCTCCTGCCCTTCCTCGAGGCCACCCTTGCCGCTGGCAACCAGCAGCAGGCTGTCTTCAACGCGCTCGCCAAGATCTACATCGACTCGAACAACAACCCTGAGAAGTTCCTCAAGGAGAACGACCAGTACGACACTCTCACCGTTGGTAAATACTGCGAGAAGCGTGACCCCAACCTGGCTTTCATCGCCTACTCGAAGGGCCAGAACGACCTCGAGCTCGTCAACATCACCAACGAGAACGGCATGTACCGCAACCAGGCTCGCTACCTGCTCGAGCGGGCTGACCGCGAGTTGTGGACCTTTGTTCTCAGCGAGAACAACATCCATCGCCGCTCCGTGATTGACCAGGTGAACGCCACCGCTGTTCCAGAGTCTACCGACCCTGCCAAGGTCTCCGAGGCTGTCGCCGCGTTCCTTGCCTGCGACCTCCCTCTCGAGCTTATCGAGCTGCTTGAGAAGATCGTCCTGGAGCCTTCGCCCTTCAGCGACAACGCCAACCTCCAGAACCTCCTTCTGTTTACCGCTGCCAAGGCCGACAAGGGTAAGGTTATGGACTACATCCACCGCCTGGACAACTTCAGCGCTCCCGATATCGCGTCTGCCTGTATCGATGTCGGCCTCCACGAGGAGGCCTTCGAGATCTTTAAGAAGACTGGCGACAAGACCTCCGCTGTCAACGTCCTGATTGAGAATGTTGTGAGCATCGACCGCGCCCAGGCTTACGCGGAGGAGGTCGACCTGCCCGAGGTGTGGAGCAAGGTGGCCAAGGCCCAGCTTGACGGCCTCCGTGTCAGCGACTCCATTGAGTCGTACATCAAGGCCGAGGACCCCAAGAACTACGAGGAGGTCATCGAGACGGCTGTCCGCGCCGGCAAGGACGAGGACCTTGTCAAGTACCTGCGCATGGCCAGAAAGACGTTGCGTGAGCCCGCCATCGACACTGCTCTCGCCTTCTGCTATGCCCGCCTCGACGAGCTTGGCGAGCTGGAGGACTTCCTCCGCGGCACCAACGTCGCCAACATTGAGGAGTCCGGTGACAAGGCTTACGAAGAGGGTCTCTTCCAGGCGTCCAAGATCTTCTTCACTAGCATCTCCAACTGGGCCAAGCTGGCCACCACCCTCGTCCACCTCGAGGAGTACCAGGCTGCTGTCGAGTGCGCCCGCAAGGCCAACAACATCAAGGTCTGGAAGCAGGTCCACGAGGCTTGCGTTAACAAGAAGGAGTTCCGTCTTGCCCAGATCTGTGGTCTCAACCTCATTGTGGATGCCGAGCAGCTGCAGACCCTCGTCAAGCAGTACGAGCGCAACGGCTACTTTGACGAGCTTATTGGCCTGTTGGAGCAGGGTCTCGGCCTCGAGCGTGCCCACATGGGAATGTTTACCGAGCTCGGTATCGCCCTGTCCAAGTACCACCCCGAGCGTCTCATGGAGCATCTGAAGCTGTTCTGGAGCAGAATGAACCTGCCCAAGATCATCCGTGCCTGCGAGGAGGCGAACCTCTGGCCCGAGCTGGTCTTCTGCTACTACCACTACGACGAGTTCGACAACGCCGCTCTGGCGGTCATCGAGCGCCCCGAGAACTCCTGGGAGCACCAGCAGTTCAAGGAAATCGTTGTCAAGGTCGCCAACCTGGAGATCTACTACCGCGCAATCAACTTCTACCTCGAGCAGCACCCTTCCTTACTTACGGACCTGCTCCAGGCGCTCACTCCCCGTATCGACGTGAACCGTGTGGTCAAGATGTTTGAGAAGAGCGACAACCTGCCGCTGATCAAGCCTTTCCTCGTCAACGTGCAGAGCCAAAACAAGCGCACGGTCAACAATGCCATCAACGACTTGCTGATCGAGGAGGAGGACTACAAGACGCTCCGCGACTCCGTCGAGAACTATGACAACTACGACCCCGTCGACCTTGCCTCTCGTCTGGAGAAGCACGACTTGATCTTCTTCCGCCAGATCGCGGCGAGCATCTACCGCAAGAACAAGCGGTGGGAGAAGTCCATCGCTCTCTCCAAGCAGGACAAGCTCTTCAAGGATGCCATTGAGACTGCTGCCATTTCTGGCAAGACCGATGTTGTGGAGGACCTGCTCCGCTATGTAAGTAAATCCCCAAGGCCTTGGACAATGTATGGTACTAACAAAGACACAGTTCGTCGACATTGGCAGCCGCGAATGCTACGTCGGCATGCTTTACGCCTGCTACGATCTTATCCGCCCCGACTTGGTCCTCGAGATCTCTTGGCGCCACGGTCTCACCGATTTCGCCATGCCCTACATGATCAACATGTTGTGCCAGCAGACAAAGGAGTTGGCAACCCTCAAGGCCGACAACGAGGCTCGTAAGAGCAAGGAGAAGGAGCAGGAGAAGGATGAAACCAACACTCCCATCCTCGGCGGCAACCGCCTCATGATCACTGCCGGCCCCGGCGGCATGGGTGCCCCATCTCCCGTGCCTTATGGCCAGACGAATGGCTTCGCGCCTCAGCCTACTGGCTTTGGGTTCTAGATGAGGGCGCCAGCACATGTTTGGGTCGTTGTGCCCGCGAAAAGATGGCAGCCTCGGGCTACTCATTATTATCCACAGTCTATTGCTTTTGGTGACATGAATAACCAGGCGGTCGGTCGGTCGGGCGGATGCACCGGCGGCACTAAAATTCTATGAACGCGGACGATGGCGTTGAGATATACTAGGGCTCCCTGTAATCGTATCTTTGCTCTCTGGACGGATAAGCTTGTTTGGCAGGCGGACGACTGTTATGCGGGGGAATCATCAGGTGGTGCTTATATTTCAATCTGCACACACGAAGTTAAACTCGCCGTTACTGGTTCAGGGATACGTCGAGCCTGTCGCTCGAACCCAAAACTGTATGATAGTCCTTTTTTTTTTCTTTTTCTACTAAACGTTGATCATTTTTTTCTGATGAACCATTGAATCCTCCTTGAACCTAACCGGAACTTTAAAAAAGGAAAGGAACTATGTTAACCCTCGGTGTGGTAAATGTTCAATACTGATCGGCCAAGGCGTCTTCCGTCACTTGAACGGGTAAACGACTAACTGACTCCACGGCAGTCGGGGCCCGGGCTTTTTCGATTCGCTGCGTCGCATCCGAAGGACAACGAGGGGCCTCCTAGAAGTTTACGGGCTCCAGGGTAGGGGGGTAGGTCACGGAGGGACCGTCGGGCTTGCGATGCAGTCGGGATGCTATGCCATGCTACGCCGTGCTACGCAAAAGAGTAAACTTGAAACTTTTCTTCTTCACTCCCTCCCTCTTCTTTCAGTGGAGGAGGATATATATCTACAGGAAGAAGAAGGGAAAAAAAAACTCACTCCACTCACATGCGGGCTTCTGGAGGAAGAAGAGAGCTAATCTCTCGAACCTACCTACCTACCTACCTGCTTGCCCTCCCCCTTCACACCCACACACACACGCGCGCGCGCAGACACAGCCATCTGAAGTGTCGGTCTCCTCGCCACCCTGGTCACGACCACACCACCGGGGCAGCGGCGGCCTCGGCCGGGACCCGGGGCGACCGCAGCGCGTCGGCCGGATCGGGGTTGGCCCGGTAGAAGGCGGCCATGGAGCCCCGGCACATGGGGCACCGGGCCAGCTTCTCCGGGTCGTGCTCGAGGAGGCGGGCGCCCGTGGCGAGGACGTGGGTGACGGTGCACTCGCGGCAGACGAGATGGCGGCGCGCGCACACGACGACGGGGCGGCGGGCGGCCGGGTCGTCGGCGAAGTGGCTCCCGCACACGGGGCACTCGCGCTCGTCGTCGTCGTCGTCGTCGTCACCGTTACCGTTTGGGTTGTCGTTGGCGTTGGGCCCGCCGCCGTTGCCCGGCCGCAACCCCCGCGCGGCGGCGACGCTGATGACGCTCTCGTCGGCGGCGGCCTGCGCGTGGACGAGCCTGGCCTCGGCGGCGGCCGTGAGCTCGGCGCGCGCGCGGCGGAGGGTGTGGACCTCCATTTCCTCGTTCGGCGGCGGGCGCTGGAAGCGGTCGCGGAAGAGGCGCCAGCCCGCGCGGTCGCCCGTCGAGAAGACGCCGTCGAGGCGCTCCATGGTCGCCTGCATGTCCCTGCGGGTGGCGTCGACGTCGCGCCGGAGCTGCAGCGGCGCCGACCAGGCGGCGTTGTCGACGGGCGGGCTCAGGGTCGTGCCGACGCGGAGGTACCAGTGGATGACCTCCTCGGAGATCTCCTCGACGAGATGGCCTACGCTAGGCGATATACGCACACATCCAGATAGCGTCGTCCCAGGATCAAGAATGGGAACGCGGATTTCC